CTACAAAATTCAATCAAAACCACTTCATTAACATCAAACACAACCTGAACAGAGACACACATTCCAGAAGACGGTCAGCATCAGCTTCGTCGCTCTTGTTATACTCTATCATTAGCTCTCATTATTAAAGACCATGGCATAATGGACTGATTTCAGACAAGCCAAGGTGGAAACAACAGCGCTTAAGAGAAAGCTAATAGGTTCAAACAGTCCCCAAAGTAATGCATGGCTCTATGCACAAAAAGGTTAATGTTGGCAGATGCTCAACCGTCTATCTGAATATGGCACCTCTATAAATAAAGAACAAGGTCACCCGTTTACCCCATCAAATTTAAAATGTCTTGGAGACCAAACACAGTCTCTCTGGAAACTCCTCCAAGTTAATAACCAATACCTCTTAGGCAGGCTACAATGGCCTCAGTATCACAGAGAGCCTTGATCAACAAAACAATATGCTGTAAAACAGGCTCCTTCCCTCCTTCAGGAGACATTCCTTTGCCTGTGTGGAAAAATGAGCCCCTCAGAGCAGAACCCCCAGAGGCAGGAGGCAGGAGGGGGTGCACTCAGCATTCCAGAGAAGCCACACTACTGAATGAGCCCAGAGCTGCATCTTGCATCTCACTCTGACAGTGGCGGCACGGCAAATGACAAGCCCTGTCAGGTAAGGTATTTATCCTCACACGGAATGCGGCTACTCCAAAGCAACCATCTCAGCGGCTGTCACATCAACGGAGACAAGAAGTCACAAAACGGGAAGGCTATCATTGAGGGAGGTGCAGCAATAGAGACTGTAATTAAGAACTGCTGCAAAGCGCTCCTTAGCATCATGTTCAGGATGGCTTGGATTACCTGCCAACTCCCCAATGAAGTCCTTACCAGCCTGTCTCTGAGGGGAGCAACCTTCTGAGCAGCCTTTCAATCTGCAAGCCTATGCAAAAGTCGCTCTTAAAGGCTGGGAATGCAGACTCAAGGAAGAAACACCGACCTGCTCTGTTCATTCACTCGACAAATAGTTATCCCACTATTCAGGCACCAGGTGAGAGGTACAGAGGTCACCAAGGGAGATACGCCACCTGACTTGGCAAAGATAGATCTGAAAGGGCAAACAGACACACAGTAGGAACCACAGGTCAGGTGGAGGGTGAGAGCCTTGAGAACCCTAAGGACGACACCTGTCCCAGTGAAGGAGATGAAGCAGAACTTCAAGGGAGAAGAGGCATCGAGGATGAACCTTAAAATGAAGTAAGGAACTGGCCAGAGAAGGCAATGTGTACCCACAGGAGAAGGCATTTGTATACTGGAGACAGGAAGACATCTGTGGGGCTGAAGCACTAGGCAGGGCTGGGTAATGGCTGCGTGTGCTTCAGAACAGCTACAAACAGGGCAGAAGACAAGATGAGAAGCTAAGAACATGATGAGATGGTGTGTGTGTGCGAGTGCGCGCACGTGTGTGTTTGAGAGAAAGACTACATTACATGGTTCTCAAGTGTGAGATAGAGTGTTGCACAGCCAGGAAGCTGCTCACGCCTATAAGAACCGAGTTCTAGTTGAGCGAAGACCACTACCTTCCATTTAACGAGCATCAAAGGGGTTCTGTGGGCTGCACGAGGCCACAGAGCTGGCAGAGCAAGCCTCAGACTTCACACTCAGACATTGGACTCCTTCTGCATTTGGTTGTCCTTTCTGTACTCACTTTCCCCCTAGGGAGCGGGGAGTGATTTTCAGGGGTAAACATAATTGAGTTCTACCATGATGACCTTCTCCTTCTACCATAGAAACAAAGTTCTTGAATGAAGAGAAAAACAAAAGGGAAAACAAGCTGCAACAAAAATGGGACTGCATTCACAGGTGACGTGGGCGGTATGGGAATTACACCTCAATGAAAGTGCTCAAAATTAAAATAATAGCCACAGAGGAAGTGAGCAGTGAGTAGCGTGGTATTTCCAAGTGTAGCTGTGCAGAAGTTCAGTCGTTCCTCTGCTTATGGATAAAACACGATTGCCATGCATAGGACTGAGTTCGGAGTCGTGACATCATCACAACACACATGCTGAAGATGTCGAGATGACTCAGGACTAGAGGAGCTTTTTCTCTTCACTGCCAATGGCCAATATATTTTCTACAATGTGGAGAACATGAATTCAACCCCCTTCTAGCATTTACCTGCTCATGAGGTCACCTTCCCACACACTGAGGTCAGGGAGTATCAGCCTATGGAGGTTCCGGAATACAAGAGATCACAGGAACTTTTGTTCCTATTACAACACAGGAGGATTGATTCTCCCCATCCACAGCTCCCAAAGCCACTCGCACAAGGCACTGGTCGAGAAAGACCTCTGCTTTGCCAGGCATAGGGCCAAAAAGTCAAAATAAACACACACGGAGACAGACTATTCCAAGCCAGCCACAGAATCCTACATGTTAAACTCATGTTAAAACAAAACAAAACAAAACAAAACAAAACAAACAAACAAACAAAAAAACACATCCCAGGCAGGGGAGGGAGCTCAGTAAACAAAGCGCTTACTAGACAAGCACGAGGGCCTGTACCCACAGTTTAGAAAGGCAGATGTGACACAGGCTTGCAATCCTAGCACTAAGTAGGTGGAGACATGTGATGTGGATCCCTATAACTCTCTGGGTAGCCAGCCAAGATTGAATGGTTAAGTCCCAAGTCCCAGTGAGGGACCCAGAGGGCCCCAAGCTTTCAGCACCTTGGGAATGACATTAAAAAAAAAAAGGACCTCTGAACTCCACTTACACACTTGTGCATGTGGGTGGACACACATGTGCATAACATACATATATACATACATACATACACATATACACACACATACATGCATACACACACAGAGCACACTAGGCACAAAAAATAAACCTCATTTTCTGCTACCTTATAATTGAATCAGTACAGCGAATTGTGTTGTATCTTCTTTTTCAGTCCAAACACGAATTTCACTTTCCAAATTCCTGATTTACTAGTTTCGTACAAATAGGACATCAGTACCAAATGGTTTTTTAAGAAAAGACAAACATTGTTCTTCCATTGTTTTTTGGTTTTTTGTTTTTTTTTAAAAAAAACAAACCCGAATCTTTTGGACCTACTTGCTAAATAGTGGTACACTTAAAATCAAGCCATGTAGCTCATAGTCAAGTCCAAGAGATCGGGTGGGGAGGGTAGAATTAATGGGAAAGCTTGCCAAAAATGTAACCATGGTAACACCACAGATGCATCAAGCAATGGTGTACTAATTTGCTTCATCCCCCATTTCTTAAAGTGGAATCTAAGTAGGGGGAAAAAATCACATGGAGAATAATTATGAGCCTGCAATTACTGAATTTGGCAAAGTTGCATTCAACCTGCAACCATAGCTTACAGGCAGTCACAGGACAACTTAAAAATGGCCCTAGGAGGTTCATGAGTCAAAAAGATGAGGTTCTGCTATGAACTCTCCCATGACCCTGTTTCCTCTCCTGCTTTCAGAAGTTTGGTGTATGTAACATGGGCCAGTGTGACAGAGGAGGACCAAGCTGGATAATACAGCCTCAGTTCTGCTGCCCAGAGTCACACCCTCACTCAAAACTGGATTACTAGATCAACAAAAACGGGGAGAAAATTCCAACCCTATCTGCAAGACTAGAATTAGGAACTGCAATGAATCTAAATACATATGGATTCATTCAAGGATATTATTGGGATTGAAGTTTTCAATTCAAAATGGAAAAGCTGAAATGAGTGAGGGCAACTAAGTCACGTTAACAGGTCACCTCTTCTCTGTCAGATGCGGCTGCTAGCGAGTAAAGAGGGAACTCCAGAGTGCTGCCCAAGGTCCTTGCAGTATTCCTCTTCTCCTCAGAGCCTTGATTTACTACTAAGCAAAATGGAGGGCAGCTGATTAGTCTAGAAACTGATTTCTTAAGGTTCTCAAATCTATGCAAGGCCTTTGGTCAGTCACACTTGTGACTTTACGGTGACACCAGAAAACACGGGCCGTCTGGCACATTACTTCCAGAGTATTATATTTAAAGAAAACCATTTCTAGACAACAGATCACAGCAAGAGGATTCTGTAAATATTAAAGTATTCTTCCTAGAGGCAGTGTCTCAAAAATAGTACCTCTAAAAACTCTTTCAAACTTCAAAGAACCAAGTGACAAAAGCAGAAAGTAAAAGTCCCAGTACTAAAACCAGAATCACTCTTTCCTTGAGGTGTGAACGGAATCAAATAAATGCCATGTCTTCCCAAGAGGCAGAGGTAAGATCAGCCTGTTCACGGACACAGTGCGTTCATGTCTCACTCTAAGGCAGCTGTCAATTATCCACTCCCAGCGGACCAATCCAAGGCCTGCTTATCCTGACCCTGAAGAGTTTCCTTTCAGAGGCCTGATGGTCTATATCTGGCCTGCTCAAATTTGGATGCATTGAACACTTTTTAGAATTTTAATCTGTGAAAATCCTTCTTTTTCCCTACAATCCAGACGTGGGGATTTTAAAGTCTGGTTGTAGGGATGGAGAGTGACCGTGGCACTCCCCCCACCGAGGGCCATTAAAGACACAGAGGCCTCCGCTCTGCTCAGTCTCAGGGTCTCTGCCTGGCTCACTCCATTAAACACAATGACACTTCCATTTCTAGAGGCTTCACCCCACCAAGACTTTGTGAACTGTTTACACGCTTCAGCCCCCCTATACTTCAAGCAGTTCCAGGGAGCTAGCATGACCGACACGGTCTTTACACAGATCGGACAGTGAGCTCACGAAAGGTAATTTGCCCAGCATTTAAACCTAATAAGTAGCAGAGTCCAATGGAAATCCAGTCACACCATAATATCATGCTGTCTGTCCCACTGTCAACCAACATTTGCTTTACTTAGGGCATCATTCGGTGGACTCACTGCTAAGTGTGCCAGAACCATCAGCTGAGCTTCCTTCTCCTCTTTACACATACGTGAGCGCGCACACTCACATACAGCAGCGAGACACTAAAATTAGCTACTCACAAGGCACGGCATGGCGGTAGAGGTTGTCCCTTATGGTCTGCTGGAGCTCATGATCCGGAGACCCCTTCTGGAACCGCTGGCTGAGAAAGTGTCGCAGGTCCTTGTTGAGCCTTCCTCCTGCAGGAAATGCACAAAGCAGACAGAGCACATCAACAAGAGAGGGCTTTCTGAACAAGGAGCCGTCAGAGCTGTGTGTGAGAAAGCAGCATCCTGCAAACCCAGCCAGAGACCCTCAGTCACAGTGAGGAAGGGCTTCCGTTTCCCGCTGTAGGGGATACAGCCAGGGGAAGGCGACGAAGAGAAAACAGCATGGAAACAACTAAGGTATGGGCCTTATCACATGCAATACCAGAAAGCTGAGTAACAGAGGATTTCCTCTGGGCCATGCATGTAAGTGAGCGCCTGTGACATCAGCAGACACTCTCAGGAGAATGACCAGTTGAAACAAACAAGAGGACAATCCGGCAACAACTGTCAAATAGGAAACCGGCTCAGAACTCCAGTGTCATTTACTACAGCAAATGAATAAAAGTAAAAGCAAGCAAGAAAACAATGGACAAACCACAAAAAGAAACCGATTCAGTAAAGCTCAGCCCACCGGCATAGTAACTGCTAAGAATAAGTGAGCTACACCTCCACATGCCAGTCGCAGGGAGGGAGCTTGGAAAACAGCCTTCAGGGTCTGAACCCTGTTTGCAGATTTAAACTTTATTTAACTGGCATATAAAAGCAGAAGAAAAGGCCTTACACCTTAAGTACACAGGAATGTGCCATGTGATGTTTAAACGCAGGCAAACACTGCACAATGGTGATGGAGCTGTTGCTTGTATACAGTGAAAACTTTCAGAATCTGTCCTTCTAGCTTTCAAAGTGTAGCCTATAGTACTATTATGTTCCAGTTTCTCAGTGGGGGCAAACCAGTTTGTTTCTACCCAGACAGGACAAGGTATCTCCTGCAAACCTTTCCCCTTGCACCTTCCAGACCCCTGGTAAACACCATTCAACCACTCTCCTCTCAATGAGCATGAACTCAGCTTTCATAGTCCATGCATGAGCTGAGATCATGGGTGTAACTTGTCTGTCTTTATGACTCTTTTTGTGTGAAAAAGAATTCTAAATAGGAAATGGACTGAGGCACAGTTTAGCCAATTTGAGACTTAGTTCAATCCCCAGAATCAAATAAAAACTGCAAAATAAAAAAAAAGAGAGAACACATATTAAAAAAAGGAACCTTAAACAACAACAACAGCCATTTCCTCTAGAGTACAAGACTTAAGCAGAGAAAGGAGACCCTCTTCTTCATTTTCTGGATAAATAACTACTGATATATACATCTCTACACCCTCCACTGCCTTTCAAATACAAGGTACTCATTGCTTTTTTTATTGCTGTTTGAGCCACAGTTAACTGTGTCTTTATTTCCTTGAAATCTTATATACTAAGTAGAACAAAAGTTTTCAATGTTGCAAAAAAAGTGTCATAGAAAAGAGAATTTGAAAGAATTGTAAAACAGATAAATAAAGATGCTACAGCGATGACTTAAAAACAGAAAAAAAAAAAAACCCCACAGGAATAAGCTTATCTTTCCAGGTGGGCAGTGGTGCTGTAGATTTAATCCTAGCACTCTAGAGACAAAGGCAGGCTGATCTAATTTCAAGGCCAGTTTCTTAATACACAGAGTGAGTTCCAGGACAGTCAGACCTACATAAGGAATGTTATTATTTTGCAGACCATTCCTGTCATCTGGGTACCCTGTTCCTTTAAGAGACAAGCTCTGCCCATCCCCAATCTCCCTGCAACCCCTTCCCCACAGAGGCAAGCTAATCTTGAGCCTTCTCTCCTATGTTCTCACTCACTACTGCCTCTCTCCCTCCTCCCCTTCTTTCTTCTCTCTACCCTCTCTTTCCTCTTTCTCTGTCCCTCTTCTCTCTCTCCCGTTCTCCCCTCACCTCTATAATCCCTTACTCTTATACCGTTCCAAATACACACTAAATAGACTCTATACCCAAGCTCACTCTGCATGGCGTATCTGTCTTTCTCCTGTCCACCGCTGGTCTCCCACCCTCCAGAGGACCTGCCAGGGTTGAGCCTCTGATTATCTTTCATTGGTGCTGAAAATCTTTCAGAGAAACCTTACTCGGAAAAACAAAACAAAACAACAACACGTTTTATAGGTGAATTGCTGGGCGATGGTGGCACACACCTTTAATCCCAGCACTCAGGAGGCAGAGGTAGGTGAATCTCTGTGAGTTCGAGACCAGTCTGGTCTACAAGAGCTAGTTCCAGGACAGCCTCTAAAGCTACAGAGAAACCCTGTCTCTAAAAAACAAAACAAACAAACAAACAAAACCAAAAAATAACCAACAACAGCAACAACAACAACAACAAAGAGTGTCTTTCAGTTTTAGACAAAATGAAAAGCAGGCCTAGGCATTTCCAGTCTTAGTGAAACAACACAGCCACTGGTCACCATGTGAGCCACAGAAGTCCTTGAAGCACCTCCATGCTCAGAAGAGTCATCCAGGACCAAGACAGAGATGCAACCTGATGCTGTTTTCTACTATGGCAGGAAACTACTGGTCTGCTTCTCACACCTGCTCATTCTGGCACCAACTCATGAAACTGCTTTCAGTTGCACACAACCAAGGTTCAAGCTGTCAAGAGAAAAATGTGTACACTGATAATCAAACTCAGCACCATTCAATCACTAATCATTTAGCAATAGATGAAGTAAGCACTGCCTTACCTGCTCCCTAGGCAAACGGGCAGCAGACAGGACGTTTCAAAAGTTCAGAAAAGAACACACACACACACACACACACACACGATGCTGACAAATACCTAGGTGATAAAGGACATACAAACTCAAATCACAAGGAGATCCCACTCTGTAGTTACCAGAAGAACAGAATTCAAAGGGTGAATAAATCTCACCTTTCGGCAAGATACAAAACAAGGTTTTATATACAGCTGGTGGGTGTGTAAGGAGGCTCAGCCTCATGAGAACACAATTTAACAATACTTCATTAAGACAAATTTGCACAGAAAAAGCAATGAACAATTTCACTAAAAATAAAGAACACGAAAATAAGTCCAAAAAAAGAAAACATAAATGAATTGCTCAGCCCTAAATTATAAACAATCCAAATATTTATCCAGAGGCAATGAAAGAAATGATATGTTTAATGAACTGCCGCACAGCACTTAAAAAGGAGACAGTACAAATATATAAACAATATTGATAATTCTCAAGCATTTAACATTGAACACGGACACAGAAGGGAACAAAACTTCGTCCATAAAGTTTTTAACATGTTCCCTCCATAATAGAGGGTAAGAAAGACTAAGCAGAATACCATGAAGGTATGGAGTACCTGAATCTATGGAGTTCATAGATGTTTACTTATGTACCAGTTAACATAAGCATACATCATGAAGGCTATTGAGAAACACTATACTACATTCTATGTGTCCACAACAACCACAATAATTATTTCCAAATAGTTTTAAAAAATAATTTATTTAATTTTATTTTATGTGCATTGGTGTAAGGGTGTCAGATCCCCTGGAACTGGAGTTACAAGCAGGTGTGAGATGTCATGTGGGTTCTGGGAATTGAACCTGGGTCCTCTGTATTGAAGGTCACTGCTCTTAACTGCTGAGTCATCTCTCTAGCCCTCCCAATGACTTTTTAAGAAACAGAGAAGACAATGAACTCCTTGAGGGGCGTGCCAACCTAGAATTGATTGGCTGTGTGATATAACACAGGTGCTACGCATCAGAATGCAGAGAATCATCCAGGAAACAAAGCTAGGCAGGTGGCTGCTAGTGGGTACCATTGCATTAGATGCTTAGGTCCTGGATTCATTAGGGAGTTAACCAGAAAGAACAGGGCAAATGCTGGCAGTGAGCAAACACAGGCTCAGGTATGGACCCAGCTCCATTATTCACGGCTTATGAGCCTCTCTTCTCTCACTCATAAAAATAGAACGATGATGTAATAGTGGCCACATCACATGGCTGCTGTAAACAGCAGAGGGGTGACATGGAAGCACAGGGCAGAGCAGAGAGGAAGCACTTAGTGAAAGACAAACACTGCAATCACCACAGTGTCAAGTGGACAGTTTCTGAGGTGAGGGGAAAAGAATAAAATCTAGCCCAAACATGAATTAGTATTCTTTTTCAAAAGTTAAAAAAGAAAAAACCACATAAGTATGAATGTTATTCAAATGGGTTAGAAACAGCAGGAGACAAACCATGAGGCAAGAGAGTTTGGACTAAAGAATATTTCCAGTGCTAAAAGAAACGGGTGACAGTCTTTTTGTGCCAGAGCAGTGTGTTCTTAGGCAGACTGGGGCTGAGGATCAGGAAGGAATGCTAACTGGTAAATCACTGGTAGGTGTGATAATCACACTTGCTCAATGCTAGCCCCAGGGGTAAGGCACTTTTGAATGATACTGAGAGAATACTGCTTCCCAGTTGTCTACAATCTAGGTGATTCTTGACTGGAAGACTTCTATCAAATGACTGGTAGGACACTGACATAGGTGGCTCAGTGAGCAAAGGTGTTTGCTGCCATGTCCCAGTTCAGTCCCTAGAACCCACATGGTAGGAGAGAACCAATTGCTGCTGCTGCTGTCGCCTGCCACGTTTGCCATGACACTTCTGCTCCCCCACCCCACATACCCACATAGAAAAATAAAACTTAAGAGACTCTGCACACTATCTGAACTATAAGTAGCAAAGAGGTCTGTATAGCTAAATACACCGTTAGGGACTAAAACAAATTCCAGAGAACATACGAGACCCATTAGTTTGTTCCCTATATGTGACACAGGTGCATACCTATAGTCGTCACCATCAAGATAAACCAGAGGCTTTCTGCCAGACTGTCCTTCATCTTAGGCTCTCCGTTATGGTTTATGGGCATCAGACTGAAACTCCTCTCTTCTGTAAATGTGCAAAGGGCAGGGTTAACTATGCTGCCAGTTAACATTTACTCTGCATTCCCTGACATTTGGAGGAGCAAAGCTTCCACCTTCACATTCCATTAAGGATACTGTACTTTGAGCATCTAATCTCAGATTAATTAACAATTATTCAGAGGACACGTCAGT